ATTGTTTTTCTTTTTATTGAATGTTTTCTTTTTGTTGAATTTATGCTATTATTGAGATTTAAAAAAATCTTAAAAATTTTAAAATATATTTGCAAATTCGATTTTTTTTTAAATTTCTGTAAATTTAATTTTTTTGATAAAACATTACATGAAAGGGCTTTTAATAATTTTAAATAAAATTGTATCGCTTTGAAAGGAGACTTTAGAACTTTAAAATATAAATCTTCTTTTTAATATTAAATTGATTAATATAAATTTATTAATCAATTAAAAAAATTTGAAATTTTAATCGTTTTATGTGGAAATTTATTTTTGTACACAATTCCAATATTATTCCGAGCATTTTCTATTTATCTGTGGAGCAAGCTGGGAGAAGGTATACCTACGCTTGCTTTCATCGGTTAATAATCCTGTACCCAAGCAGCAAGAGTACATAAGTCCAAGAACTCGTTTTTTTCCAGGAGAAGCCCGCGGAGTTCCGTGGAATCGTGGATGCGCGCTTTCAAGATGAATCGAATGAATGTGAATAAATGCAATCAGGTTGAAATTTATTCAATATAACATAAATTCATGTTTATTTAAAAATAAAATGAATTGTTTCTATAAAAATACAGCGTTTTTCTCTTTAATATAAGTGATCTTATCGCGCTTTGTTTTCAAATAATCGAATTTGAATTGAATTTTATTTTTCAAGAATTTATCTTGTTCTTTCATATAATTTATAAGAAGTTATCGTACTTCATTATGATGATGTAAATAAAAGAAAAGGAGATCATCTCTAAAGCCGATGGTTTTGGACTTATTTCTTTTCGCTTCTCGGGCACAGGACTATCTCTGTAGGTTCGTTAAAAATCTTGGTCATACTTCATTAAGAGAGAGAAAGAGAGAGAGAGAGAGAAAGATTTAGTGGTTTAGTGTGGAGGGGACACAGCTCTCAGTGCCCGCTTCATAGAGCTTCGTCCACGACTGCAAATGCACGTGTGCACAACTACGAGTGCGCCCTGCAAACGTGTGACTGTGACTATACGAACCTCTAGCTTCTGCCACGCAATTGACGAGGTATTTATGCCGGAATGATAATATCAACACATGTCCTTCTGCCAGGAGAGAATCCGTTTAGGTTTATCCTGTTTGGTTCGTGTTCTTTCGAGAAGTCTAACTAAGGATCTAACAATCTTTGAGATGTGGAGATTTAGATAATGCAGGGATCCTTTAATCGCTGGTATATAGGCATACATATTCATGCAAGATTAACATTAGTCAGCAAAAATAGAATAAGACATAGATAACAGGGGAAATTCTACAAAACATTGTTTACCTCAAAAATAAAATATTTTTAAGGAAAATTTCTATCCAAGATGTTTTATGTGAATGATATAGGCTTCCCCCATTTAACAATAAAAGTTAATCCAACAGTTTACATATACCTTTCGGTGTTTTTGATCGAGGAGATTTAATTCATAATTCCTTATGAGGACCATATGCGCTTATTAAACAAACACACAGTCGACAGAGGGACAGGATTTTGCCAACAAAATTATCATTAAGCAACATTTGATTATTACATTGTATCATGGTGCCGATAACATTCTTGTTAAAACTTGGATTGTCTACTTTCAGGAAGAAGAGAAGAACAAAGAAGGGACTTCTCGAGAACTCATCCAATACATCGTTTACCATATTGTTAAGGTAAAGATTTTGTATAATCTTAACAATGATAAGAGTGTGTGAAAGAGAGAGGAGGAGAGACGAAGATAAAATTTGCGTCGAAATCACAGACACACAAAATCGATACAATTCGTGTTCCGAACATTGTTATTTTAGGCCACCTATACATAAATAAAATGCAAGGTAAATTGTGTAAGATACAATTTGCTGTGTGCCGCGCTAATAATAATACTCGTAAGATTGTTATTTGAAATTAATAAAAGAATGCTACATATCTCTTTGATCTTCCTTTTATTTAATGAATAATTAGATGAATAATTTTTTTATAATACAATTCGTTAATACTTTAATAAGTATATTTAACTCAAATCTTCATTTCAGAATATGAAAACGATAATTTTATAAGTTAATCTTAATTATTGCATTGTTAAAATATATAATGTTAACTAGATTAATGGGGATGAAAAGAACAAAGTGTGAAGGAGAATTCTATATATGGAGGATTAATGATATATTAATATACACATAATTTTGCAAAAATATATAATTTATTAAATAAATATGCGAGCTTAACAATACATGCAGTCTATCCTAATACTGTACGTCATAATCTTCTTCTGATATAAAACAGTTTTATCCAACAACAAAGCATCACTTCAAACCGATTTGTCTCGTGACCTGAATAATGTGATAAAATATATGCTGTTAATTTTAATATTGTCGCAATCTTTTTTGATGTAAAATATATTTAGTTAAATAAAATATAATTTTTTAAATTTTAATATTCAAATACAATAAGAATATTTCAACTTAAATTTTGAAAAGTTGAACATCTTTTCATTTGATTTCTATCAAATCTTTATTTGACGATAAATCAAATTACCTGTTCATATACAGTCCAAGCCATGGTGGTCATCAGTGTCCGTCTTAGCATTCTAGGAACGATACCCTTGAAATATCCTAAGATACCATACTTTTTGTAAACAAAGAATGTCGCGTGATAGATATTATTAAATTCATTCGGATATAATTGCATCTTCGTTTTGATAACGTCCGGAGGTTGCGTTACTATAGACGCTAAAATTCCAGCGAGGATTCCGCAACTGAAGTGAACTGGCACCGACGAGTTATTTGTTGCTCCTGCAAACAGAAAAATTTATTTTTGTACAAGGTCTCGATTAATTCTTAATATATAATTTGATTTTTTTAATTTTTGAAGATATTGACAAGCTATAATTACAAACTATAATTCTATAATTTTTTATAAAAGATTTTTTTAATGTTTATAAATAATTTAATATTATTTAGCAACAAGCTAAATTAATATAATTTTAAGAAATACCTGTATTGACAGCCGCATTTTTCAACTGGGTGTAAAACATGAGGTATAGACCGCTGTAAGGCGCATCTCGCAGAAGAGTCGGTACCAAACCACTCGATAATCCCCTTACTCCTTCTTGCTTATAGATCAATTGAAGAGCCTCATTGATACTATTGTATTTGTAAACGCCGCTCTGCACGATACAAAATTGTACTTACATAATCGGTTGACGTCAAATTTCATTTTGAAAAGGTCAAAGGTAATCATTACGAATATCTATATGATTGAAATTTGTAAAATATTTCATATATCATGTTATTATAGAAATATGTATTTCGTAAATAACAATGACGCAATTATGTGAGAACTCTCGTGCTTTAGAATTTTTCTTTTCATCTTCCTTTTTTATTATTTTTTTTCTATATTTCTTTTCTCTCTCTAAGAGATAATTAGTCTAAGATTATAAATAAGATTATAAATTTCTAAGATTTAATCATGTTATATTGCATATCCTTGCTTTTTGAACGTACCTCGAATCGTGTTTTCACGACGGTGATAGGAATCAGTAGAGCGCCGGACATGGACCGCGCGGTGATGCCCAAGGAGATGGCTTGCAGAGGCGTCAGCGGTTCTTCTAAATTAAAGGCATGTTTCAACCAATGCAATGATGAAAAGTATAAACCAACACCAGGGATTACTCTGGTTATCGACTGTAAATTAACATCCATTGTTACCAATGCAAATTAATATCTAATCCATATTAATCTTCAATACTGATTAATTTTCGTCTTACCGGTGTCATGCCCTTCCAAAGTCCAAAGATATTCTCCTTCTGAACGATGTGTGCCACTGTGCCCAGCATTCCATTTTTCGGCGATCTGTTGAGAAATCCAAAAAAATTAATTGATAATTATTTGAAAAATGAACAATTAAAATAATAATATTTCTTTTAGTTGAACTTTATATGACTTCATATCAGATACAAAAAGAAAAAAATTAAATTTTAAATTAATAAGATTGGTTTATAAATCAGATTCAAATTAAATAAAAAATGTAAATTTTAAAAAATATAATAAATTTTAAGCAAAAAATTAAATTTATTTTTGAAAATTTTTAGTTAATAAAGGAACAAATACATAATGCATTCAAGATAAATGAAAGTTTAATTTCATTTTAGAGAGTTTTCATTTATAGCAATGGATCTGGGTCCTACCCAACAGGAGCATTGACTCTGCTCTGAAGTCTGGTTTTCACCAAATCTAGCGGTTGGAAGAGGATCGTGGAAAATGTTCCAGAGAATGAACCCGCCAAAAAGGACTTCAAAATTGGATACTGCAAATATAAGAAAATCATAAAGAAAAGCTCGTTCGAATTCATCATTGTTCAGCAACATCTATCAACTCTTCTACAGAGTCTTAAGTTTAATGATATCTAGCTTTAATAGATAGATAGATAGAGTCTCTAATTGATAGTTGGATTTTTCCTCTTAACAAAATAAAGTCATAGACGCAGATTGATCCATTGGACCTTAGGGCGAAGCTCAATAATATCAAGCGACTTTATCACGGACTTATTACCCGCGTATCTCTCGTCGCACGAGTTCGCTCACGTGCGGCGAAAGATCTCGGCCGACTACACAGTATCAGCTGTTATCATCATAAGGAATGACCCAGGGTTATCGTCGCGTGGCAAACAGCTATTTTTTTTCGCGAGGGACCGATATGTTAATTGCGCACACGAATTTCTTTAATAAAAGACATCACGCGATTTTTAATATTTGACGTCAACGTTTCGCGCCACAGGGGATCCATTTGTTTTCTTTTTTTCACCAAGATAAGCGAAAGCGAAAACAGAGTTTCGTCAGATTGATGAACCTCTTTGCGTCAATTTGTTATCCGCGTGAGTATCGGATATAGTTTATTAATAAAATCGTCTGACGTTTTATCAGTTTTGTTTCTCTTTGTCGTTTCCTTCTTCGCGGGAGGCTTTGATTATGAATCTTTCGCAATGCGAGTTATCATATATAGTATGATATTAATGGAAATTCTTACGAAAAAGTTCAAAGTCATTTTTCTTTTAATAATTTTTTTCAAATGATTTCAACAAATGATGATGATTTGTGCAAATTGAATTACGTAATGCGATAAAATTATGTTTCAATTCTACAGTTAGAAAAGAATAATTTTTTCATAGAAGTTAAGAATTTAAATGTGCTATGGATCAGGAAAAATTTCTGCTAAAATTTCTGCTAAAATGTTAGAAATTCTATCCGTTTTTAAAAAGATATATAATAACTTAAAAAAGTATTTTTTCTTTTTTGATATAATTTTACATGTGATTTTTTAAAATTTATGATATATTGAGTGTAAAGTATTTTGTAGCAATATTTTTTTGTAAAATCGTTTTACTAAGAATGCATACGCTTTTTACATTTATTATATATAATAAACTTAATAAACAAATAAATAAATATGCAATATAAATTTGATACGATTTAATAAATACAAATTTGAAATATACAATATATTAAACTTTTAATAAGTTATTTATAATTCGAGATACTTACAGTTCCTATGGCTTCCATTATTCAAAATTATATTCACTATTATTAAATTTCAAAAAGTATATATCTTAAAATTATTCTTGAATAAAGGCACTAAAAATTTTTTCAATGACAGTTTGTTTCTCGAATGATTTTCTAATTTTGGTGAACTTCCCACTTTCATAATCAGCGACGCGACCGTTCGTTAGATAGACGGAAAAATTTTCCTCCGTCTGTAACGCTAGCACGATACTGAATCACGTTTGAAACGTGCACTCTACTTACATTCCCTTTTATCTTCGTTTCGCCATCGTCGAGGTCAATGGGGTGACCCGGCATATCGGGACATGCTCGTGCAAGAAAAAGTTTTCAGGCTTATCAGTCGTCGAAACGTGATTTAAACGTGACTTCATTCGAAAACGTGAGATGTACTTTATGCCAATACGGGTCACTCCTCATCCGACCTTCTCGCTTTTCCACGCGGTGATAGCAGTCTGAATCATTCCTCGTGGAATCCTTTCGGCGTTTATGGAGAGATCCGGCAGAGGGGGGAGAGTGATTAGACTGCCAATCGAATTTCCTTGTCCTTGGAGTTTGTCTGTATAATATTCATACGATTTTTGAGACATTGAAAGTATCGTTTTAAAAAAATTACAAAGGAATTACAAAGGAATCGTGAAAATAAAATATCAGAGATTTGAAAAAATGTATAAAGATGTATAAAAGTCTACTCTCAAAAGGGTCCTGGGACATAAAAAACTTAAGCAGTACTAAATTTAAACAGGAAATCAACGTTATGGATTTACTACTGCTTATGTTAATGCCGTACGTTCTCGATTGATTGGCTGATTCGCTTACCGCTTAAATTTTTTTATGTGCCAGGGCCCTAATACTTGAAATTTTTTTTCCATTCTTATACTGGGCTACACTAAAATCTTCTATGTCGCTTTTGTTAAATTTCAAATATATATCTATTTCATTTTAAATACAACGAACACTAGTTCGTTAAATTTGTACTGAACGTACACTAAGTCAGTTACAAAAAATAGACCATTGCTACATTCACATCTTAATAAAAAATTATCGTAGTTATCGTAGTAGGTGTCTCTAAATCAAGCTAAAATGAATTCAAATGCGTTCATTTTTCTTCGAAAAGCATATTTCTCTCGAAAGGTATTAAAGATAAATGAGGTATTACAAATAACAAAAAGAAAAAAAACTTTATTGTTCTTGAAAATTTTTTTCCTATAAAATTATAGAGATCAAAGATATTTGATTGAACTTTTACATAATTTATTTGTGAAGAGTTTAATTTTGTCAGAATTAATCAAATGAGAAAATAAACAGTAAAACATACAGACTGTAAAAATAGAAGAGTTGATAAAGTGGTATCAGAATAATAGATAAGAAGAGCAAAGATCGTTTTCAAGCCGAAATATTTGGAAAATTGAAATGATGATAATGAAAAGATTGCCTTTGTTGCATCATTATTTAATCACCCTTATTTATTTTCTTAGGCTAATATTTCATATATTCTAACATAAATTTTTTTATAAATTTTTTGAAAGTGTTGATTGAATGCACAATAGAGGATTTTTGAAGAAATCCTTAAAATCTTTATTATCCTATAACTAATTAATCTACGCTTTCAAAAATTTTTATCATACAACATATGAAATATTAGCCTAGAAGTGATTGTTTTTTTATAGAACCTAATCACAATTAAATAATCTTATTTCTATGTTTTGGCTTGCCTTTTAATCTTTCCTTAGCCATAATTATTTATCAGACTACAAATTTGTGCTTGCTACAACAGAATTTTTAGATTTCCAGGAAATAATTTTCGACATAGAAAAATGATGCTTTTTTTTACTGCACGCTTTTTTAATACCAGGAAAAAGAAGGCACTTTATCATGACAAGTTCTGAGAATCCAATTAAGGGTAATGAGGTTAAGGGTCAAAAGATTCCTTTATCTCTAACAGCATTTTTTCCCCCTTTCTGTAAATAATAAATCTTGATTATACATCTTGATAAATACAATTCGTCTAGTGCAAAACGTTCGTCTCATATCGATAGCACAAAATATTCAGTTATATAACTACCTGGTGGCGATCGTGGTCAGGATGAGCAGTTTTAACAAGAATTGGCAGCCGATCACGTATATCACGAGCGGAAAAGTTTCCAGACGATTTCACCTGCGGTCGTCAAGTCGACGGTCAAGTCGACGGGGCACGAGGTGACGAATGATATCCACGGGGTCGCGAAGGGTCGCACAATCATGAAGAAATTGTGGTCGACTGATACGATATGATTATCGCGCAGCGATCGCGACATCATTGTTTTGAGACTTGATTCGATCGGACGGCACGACTGACGTAAGTGGCCTGTTTGTCCTGGATCGTGTTTATCGCCGCACGAATAAGACGCGAATTGGCAATCGATTCACCTCGACCTTGTTCACAAACCATGTGTCAATCCACCCTCTCTTCGAATTGCATCTTTCACATCTCAGATCTCAATCCCATCCCTTTCCCTTCGAAGCGGGAATAAATCAACGGATTTATGATTCGTTTCCAGTTCAAAGCAAGACAGGTCTTAGGGCTCATCTTCAAACGGGTCTGTTATTTAGATAGGTCTGTTTTTTTATGACTGAATTAGTGTACTTATACTTAAAATAAAATAGATATATTTGAAATTGAAATTTGATGAAAGCGAGAAAAGAAATTTTACAATCCAGTATAACGATTAAAAACAGACCTAACGTTTTAAATCCACGAAAGATCGACGATCGATCGAAAAAAAAGTCTCATATATTTTCTATATATTATAAACCATTTTTTTTTCAATTTGATGTATTTATGTAAAGATAAAAAATGAAGTTTATTCGAAATTAATTTATATTAGTAGAAATAAACATTTTTCAATCACTAACATCTATTTAGTACTTCTCTCCTACAAGTTTCCAAATCATGTTTTGGAAAGCTTAAAATATTCTTATATATTGAATAAATATGGGTAAATAGTTTCTATTTGAATACACATTTGGTATTATTTATATCAAGTGAATAAGTAGCTGAAAACTAGTAACAGAAAAAACTGTAAAAATAGAAATTTTTCTTGTTCTTTCATATCGTTTTATAGCTATTCATATTTATTTTGATATTTTCCCTCATTCTGAAAAAGATTTTTTTATTCAAATTAAGGAAAGCGAAGGGATTAGAGAAATATGAAATATAATATGTTCAGTCGATAAAACAAACAAGTCCAGCATCCTTTTAAGGCATTTTTGGAGTAGTCGATAAAAAAGATGCGCATTCGTCAGGAATCCGCGGAACCGATGATGGACGTCGGAACGGCGCCGAAAGTCGGAGCGGCGCTGTAGCGGCGCTTCACAAATGGCCGATGACGCGAGGAAGGCCAAGGTGACATCGCCGTTCGGCAACGATTCTACCATTCACGCGGCGACGAGATGATACGCGGCTGCGAGCGTGAGAATGCGTGAGACCTGCGGCTAAAATAATCCCCGCTATGATCACGCGAAGCGTCTGGCTCACTGTCGTCTGCCTCCTCTGCTACGGCATTGTTTCCTGCAATGGTAGGTGGCATCAGTTGCATGCTTGGTCCGCTGTGTTCCTCTTCCTCCTCATCCTCCTTTTATCCTTTTTTTCTAAAATGGATGTCTTTTCTTGTCTTTTCTTTCGAGGCACATCTTTTCTTCATCTTTTATCTTTTCTTCATTCTCTCTTTTTCACCTCTTTTTCTCTTTTTTCCCTTTTCTCGATTATATCTTCGTATTATCGTTTATATGCGTAACGTTTGTGTTTGTTTTGTTTATGCATTATATATTTGTATGTTTGTTTACGTTTATTTATCATTCACAGTCAATCTCTTGTTTTTTTCTATTATTTTCTTTTTTTGTATTGACTTTTATTTTTTTGATAGAGTCTCTAATTAAAAATTTTTTTTGTTCTTGGGACACAATACGTTTCACACAATAGATATTATTATTATTAATATTATTTTTTGGGGCTAATCCATTCTTCTAAAATAGATGTCTTATAAAATGTGTCTTTTTTTTCATCTCTTTTTTTGTATTTGTATATACATTTGATTTGTATATTGTATGTTTATATACTTTGTGTATGTTTATTATTTCTATCTATATTTTTCCTCCTCTCTTTCTGTTTTGATTTGTTCCTTCTTCTTTATTCTGCTTTTTGTATTTGATACTTTCATTCCTAAGATAAGATATCTTACAATAAAATAAACATCTTTACTACAATTACCTTTTGCTATAATTATCTTTCAGGCTCGCCCGTTCTTCTCTTTGCTACACATAAGGATATCAGAATGGTTAATGTATCTCGTACCAACAAGATTAGTGTTATCATCAAGGATTTGTCAGAAGGAGCGGCGCTGGACTTCTATTATGAGCGCGGGCTGATCTGCTGGTCTGATAGTGGTTTGGAGATGATACAGTGCATGCGCTACAATGGCACGCACACTGGTGAAACGATGACGGTGGTGAACTCCAGTTTGATATCACCTGATGGCCTCGCCTGCGACTGGTATACAGACAAACTATACTGGACGGATGGCGAGAAGAATCGGATTGAAGTGACCAGCATTGATGGCCTTTACAGAAAAGTGCTCTTCTGGACAGACATTTATCAACCGCGCGCGATTGCCTTGGCACCAATGCAAGGTCTCCTATTCTGGACTGATTGGGGCGACGTGCCCAAAATTGAACGCGCTGGGATGGATGGTGATCCAACTACGCGCAAAGTTATTGTCTCTGACGATATATTCTGGCCGAATGGACTGACAATTGATTATGAGAATAAGCTTATTTACTGGGCGGATGGCAGATTATGGTTTATTGCTGTAATGGATTTCAACGGTTATAACAGGCGCAAATTAATCAGCCGCGATCTGGATTATCCTTTCGCCATAACATTTTTTGACAATCGACTCTACTGGACCGACTGGAAGACTTGGTGTATCCACACGTACGACATGAACCTGCCGCAGCCACATGCACGTGAATTGTTTCACGGCGAATTTATACCTGGTACTGTAGATGTTATTAATAGTTTGCAAATATTAATTAAAATTCTTATTGCGTTGTATTTATTATTTAGAGATATATTGCATAATAATAATAACAAAAAGTTATCGAAATTAAAAATATTTAATATTTTTTATTATATGTTTTGTTTATACTCTTTGATATATGAATAGATTTGGAAGAAATTCTGGATTCTGAAGAAATGAAAAATATAAACAAAATAATACAATTACTAATATAAAAGGTTAATTTACGGCAATTAACGTTTTTTTTAAATTGATGACAAAAAAATTTTGATTATAAATATTTCCTAAAATAAATTGCAAGATTAATAATTTTTGGAAGACCCAAGAATCTACTAATTTATGGAAAGATTTTGAGTTATAAATACTGAATTTATGCTTTTATGAAATATAAAATTAATTATATATTAAATTAATAATTTTAAAATAAAATATAAGTTTATGAATATTTGAATTATCCATTTTATCTTTGATAAGTCATCATATTGTATTTATCTTTTTACTAAGTCTTTTTATTTAAGTCTCCAGTATAAAATTCACGATTTTATGTATACTTTGTTCTGTTAATTTTCTGCGCACTTATTACTTTTCTCACATTTATAATATTTCAATGCAATGTTTCAATGTTTCAATGTCCTCTTTGCTCTTAGGTGACATTGAAGTATGGGATGCAAAAGGCAGCCAGGTGGCGATAATCCTTGCAGACGAAACAATGGCAATTGTTCTCATCTCTGTCTTCTGAGTTCGGTGGAATCTGGTTACAGTTGTGCCTGTCCTACGGGTATTAAGTTAATCGATAATTATACATGTGCCAACAGACCGGAAAAGCTATTGCTAATCGTCCAGCGAAACGAAATCTGCCGAATATCTTTAGACTCACCTGATTACACCAACTTTGTGCTGCCACTTACTGGAATCAAACATGCAATCGCGATTGATTTTGACCTCGTGGATGAGATGTTATATTGGACTGACGAGCAGGCGTGTGCTATTAGGCGCGCCTCTCTCGATGGGTCGAATCAGCAGGATGTGATTACCTCAGAGGTATGCAAGTGATAATCATTTTATTTTTTCTTTGATTTTATTTATATTTTTATTTTCGAAAAAGCACTACATTTGCAGCAAGACTATTGTGTAAAACATACTTTTTAATGCTCCAGAATCTATAAGTATTTTCTATTTTAAAAATAATTTTTTAGACATTATTTTCTTGTGTTTATAGTCTTGTGTTTATTGTATTATCATCCTGCATTTAATTATAGGTTTCTCTCTTTTGATTCCTACAGATAATGAATCCAGACGGTATCGCGATAGATTGGGTCGCTCGCAATCTATATTGGACAGATACCGGAACCGATCGGATCGAAGTAGCGCGACTAAATGGTAAGCATCGGCGAGTATTAGTGAACGAAGACTTGGTCGAGCCGCGAGCGATTGCAGTCGCACCCGAGTACGGTTGGATGTTCTGGACCGACTGGAATGAGAAACGGCCAAAGATCGAGCGCAGTAATCTTGATGGCAGTGAGCGTATACTATTGGTCACCAAGGACATTGTTTGGCCGAATGGCATCGCTCTAGATCTCGAGCATAAAAAGATCTACTGGTGCGACGCAAAGACCGATAAGATTGAAGTATCCAACATGGATGGTACCGATCGGCGTGAGGTCATCACCGACAATCTGCCGCATTTATTCGGTCTCAGTCTGCTAGGTGATTATCTGTATTGGACTGATTGGCAGCGACGCAGCATCGATCGAGCACACAAGTTCACCGGCAACAATCGTGAAGCTATCGTCGAACAGATGCCCAATGTGATGGGATTGAAGGCCGTGCATCTTGGCCATGTAAATGCCAGTAATTCACCGTGTGCTCGCGACAACGGTGGATGTAGCCATCTTTGTTTCAACAGACCTAATAACAGGTGCGCATTATTGAAATTAAAATTTCTCGAGGAGATCCGCTGATATCACAAATAGATTGATGATATTTATTTTGAGATAAAGAAATAAAGAATCATATGTTTCGTTGCATTATATAAAATTAGTCTTAAAAAAATTGAAGTAATATGTATGTAAATTAAACCATAATTTGTATTTATGAAAAATTAACGTAAAATTGAAAAAAATTTAGATATGTCTGCGCCTGCCAGATGGGTTACGAATTAACTAAGGATAAGCATACGTGTGTTGTGCCAGATGCCTTTCTACTATTTTCTAGAAGAGAAAATCTTGGCCGAATCAGTATCGAGAACGTTAATAATGATAATATTATACCTGTTACTGGCATTAAAGACGCTAGGTGAGTAGAGGTGCAATATTAAATTGAATGTTTAAAATTTAAAATTAAACGTAAAATATATTAGAATATTTATATATAAATATATAGAATATTAAAAATTTTTTTTGTATATTTTTTAGTAGAGCTTTTCGGCTTGATTTAAGATCTTCTAAAAAATATTTTTTGAAGAAAGCATAATTTTTTATCATTTAATAATGCAATAAGTCATCTCATTTCACACTTAATTATACAGATGCATATTATTTACATTACTTTTTTTATTCATTCTAGTGCTATAGATTTTGATTTATCCGAGAATCGCATTTACTGGACGGATATTAAGCTTAAATCTATCACACGTGTTTTCATAAATGGATCAGACATTGAAAAGGTAGTTGATCTCGGTCTAGAATCGCCGGAGGGTATTGCATTTGATTGGATCGCTCACAATCTCTACTGGAGCGATACCACGACACGTAGAATAGAAATGATCAGATTAGAAGGAGGCAGCAGGAAAGTACTTTTATGGCAAAATCTTATTGAACCTAAGAATGTAGCTGTGGATCCTCAGAGAGGGTGAGCTTCGTATCTTTGTTATTATTTTATTATTGTCTTTAAATTTAATTTCCTACGGTCTTTATACTTTCATAAATTTATAAATTTATAGTTTTTTTAGATCTAATATCTATTTTTATTTCATTTTTTCTTGCGTCATATTTGTTTTAAAAAATTAATAAGCTTGATCAAAATTGAAAGATATTTCCAGGAAATATCTCTCTTAGAATATAAGATATTTTTTATATTTTTTATCTTATTCTGAAAATAAGCTAGTATATTAATCTCGTTTACATTATCTCTCTTTATCGATAGTCATTTATACTGGGCCGAATGGGGCAATAGTGGCAGTATCGAGAGGGCTTTATTGGATGGTACGCAGCGACAAGTGGTCGTTTCGCACATTGGTCGTGCGAATGGTTTGACAATCGATCATGTGGGACGCAAATTATATTGGGCTGACATCTCTTCACCTGCGATCGTTTATTACGATCTAATAATGCAACGTAAAAATACCATCATTTCACACCACATAGTCTATCCATTCAGCGTTACGCAGTTCCGAGATTATATTTACTGGGCAGATTGGAACACAGGAGACATTGAGAGAGCAGATAAACTTACCGGGATGAATCGCACTAAAATCCATACCAATCTGGCATCGGTGACGGATCTGAAGGTGTTTCACGCGTCGCGACAGGCCGGTTCAAACCCGTGCGCGATCGCGAATGGTAATTGCAGCCATCTCTGCATCGCCTTGCCAGGTCCAAACGGCAGTGTATCTGTTACCCACAGATGCGCTTGTCCCACGCATTACAATCTGGCGCGGAACAATCGGACGTGCGTGCCGCCACGGCATTTTATGATCTATAGTCTGCGCAACGCGGTTGCACGTTATCTGCCCGATCAGACAGATAATTGCGCGGATGTGATGCTGCGTGTACAAGGTCTGAAGAACGTTCGCGCGATCGAGTTTGATCCAGTGACACAATACGTCTATTGGATTGATGTTCGCACCATGACGATCCGTCGCTCTCTGGAGAATCGAACGCAACAGCAGCAACACAGCAGCACAGTCGTGATGTCTGTTGGCGCGAACGGGCATCCCTTTGATCTTGCCCTGGACCCACTCGGGAGGCTGCTCTTCTGGACATGTTCGACGAATGATGCTCTTAATGTCACGCGACTGGATAATGGCTCGGCGCTTGGGGTGGTAGTAAAAGGTGACGGCGAAAAACCGCGTCACATAGCGATTCACTCGCAGCAACGATTGCTCTTCTGGACGGATGTGGGTAAAAGACGGGTGATACGCAGCATGATGGACGGCAAGATGCGCTACGTGATTGCCGGCGATTTATTGGAACAGCCGACCGGTTTGACGGTCGATATCGCAACGCACATCGTTTATTGGGCATACGGCAAGCAGATCGAATGTTCTCACTTTGATGGCAGCAATCGTAGAATCCTAGTTTCCACCACACAAGGTTCGGCACTACATTTGGCTATCCTCTTCGATTATCTCTACTGGTATGATCGCGAAGCGCAGGTGAGTGACAATGTTTTATTTATTCCGAATTAATATTCGTCATTGATATCCGCAGACGTCTTTTAAGATGACGAATAGTCTTTTTGCATAATAAAATTTGATATTAACACGAGGATTTTTATATATTTATTTTATGTGAAATATGACAGGTGATTGAGCGCATCAACAAGACATCCGATGGGAATAACAAGCGTGGTACACATATGACGACAAGTCGTCTATTCACGGACCTCATCGCGGTTAATACGCCTGAAGATTCACTCATGGAGACACATGTTTGCAGTCCATTTAACGATTACGGTGGATGTTCACATTTTTGCATTGGTACGTTCACTATGACAAATGAGGACGCTATGACGACAGTCCGTTGTTCGTGTCCGAGATCCTTGGTTTTATCCGATGACGGCCGAACTTGCCGCGCGGCGCCGGTCTGTGGAAATGATCACTTTACGTGTGCCGCGCCGAACGCAGCCGTCAGCAAAGACTGTATACCAGCTACATGGAAGTGTGATGGCCAAACCGATTGTTCAGATGGCAGCGATGAACTGGGATGTCCCACGTGCTCCCGCGAGCAATATAAATGTCAGAATCATTGTATCGGTAAGTGCAAGAGTCTTTATTTTTCTTGATAATTAAAACGATGATATATAAATGTAACAAATGAATTATATATTATTCCGTTTTCTGTAGAATTATCTTCAGTATGCGATGGAACTCCTCAATGTCCGGATGGCTCGGACGAGGCGCAATGCTGCCAAGCCGGACAATTTCAGTGTGTTGGAAACGGTGTCTGTATCTCTGGGGCGGCAGTATGTGATGGCTGGGATGACTGCGCCGACGGCAGTGATGAATTACCGCCAGCTTGCCTCAGTCCACAGCACCACCAGAACGCAGGACCAGGAATCAATGAGTCCAGTAAAACGACATACGTCATTATCATTATGGTAGTGCTGCTCGTAGTAATTGCGATTATTTTCAGCTATTACTACTGCCGTAAAAGGTTATTATTATATTATTTGTTATCATATATTAAAATAGTGCAACAAATATTTATTGCGTTTTTACAATAATCATTGTTTTACTATTAAATTTTTTTATAAGGAAATACTTTTTTAATTTTCTTTTTTTAAGAAACTTCAGTTAGTTTTAAAATAAAATTTTTAATATAAAAAGTAATAGAAGAAATAACCAATCATTTACGAAGCGAGCAAATGCATTATTGCATTATATTTTTAGACTTACTGGAAACGAGGGTTTACCTGATATATTGCATGATTCGGCGGGAGATCCACTATCACCGAAACCAAATAATAATCGTATGGTAAAACCGATGTTTGTTTCGCAAAAAACTAACAGGAAGGATGGAGGTAGTGGAAGCGCAGGTTTTAAGACCGGAATGGAAGCTGTAAGAATGTCCATGTTGAACGGAAGTAGTCTTGGTTCTAGTTATGACCGCAGTCATATCACAGGTAGCATGTTTTCAAGAATTAAAAATTTCAATTGGCAAAAAATATACATTATACTTTTTTCTTAATTAGTGTTTTTAGGGAA